GGGAATATTATTGCTGAATAAAAATAAAAATAAAAAAGCAAAGAAAAGACACAACTGCTCCTAGGTATGGTAGAGGAGACAGGTTAGTGCCGATATATTGGACAGCATAGCCAGAAGCAGGGAACTCTGGGAGAGTCCAGAGTGGACAAGTCCAGACTGAGCTGGACCATGTGGGGAGAAAGAAAAGGGGAAGGGAGAGGGAAGAAAGGAGAGCCAGATGTAGCAGCCAGGAGGCCCAAATCACAAAGAATGGGTGACCAAAATGGTTGGATTATATAGGGAAGAGAAGCCCAGACTCCTGGTCTGGAGAGTTCAGGGTAGCGGGTGGGGTGTGTCAGCCAGGAGGGCCCTGTAACAAGTAGGAACTGAGGGATGCAAGGAGAACTTGACATCCAGGTTCTTTGATATAGGCACCCCAGCCATTTGTGCCAGGGTTGAAACATAGCAATTGCTTTATTCTGTGTTTGCCGTGCTGGGGATGGAACCCAGGCTCTTGAGCATGCTAGGTACGCACTCTACCACTGAGCTACATCCCTAGTCCTGCTTTATACTTTAAAAAAAAAAAAAGTGGTTAAGAGCACTGGCTGCTCTTTCCAAAAGACTCAGGTTCATTTCTCAGGCCCCACATGGCAGCTCACACGCCCGCCCCCCCCATCATTACTCTAGTTCCTAGGGGTCTGATGCCCTCTTCTGGTCTCTTTGGGCACCAGGCATGCATGTGGTACACAGACATATGCGCAGGCAAAGCGCCCATATACATAGTAGATAAAAGTAATAAAACAGTTGTAATTCCAGGTCTAGGGAGTTGCCCTGTGGGTAAAGCATTGTGCAAGCCTGGATTCAGATCCCTAGAACCCGTATACTAGCAGGACATGACAGTGCACATGTTTCCCATCCCGGCATACCTACCTGATGTCGAGAGTCCAGGACAGGCGATCATAACAAGCTCTGGGGACAGCTGAGCTGGCAGATGCAGCAGTGAGCAAGAGAGACCCTGCTTCAACACAGGGTGGAAGCCGGGCATGCTGGCACACGCCTGTAACCCCAGTACCTGGGAAGCAGAATAGATTAATTACTTTTCTATTGTTGTGATAGACACCATGATTGAGGTAACTTAGAGCAGGAAGGGCTTATTTGGGGTTCCAGTCTCAGAGGGATAAGAGTCCACCACCATCTTGTCAGGGAGGCATGGCTGCAGCCATAGGGGCTAGAAGAACCAGCTGAGAGCTCACATCTTGAATTGTAGGCAGGAAGGAGAGAGCAAAGTGTGAGGCCTTCAGTTCTCACAGCCTGCCCTGAGTGATGTACTTCCTCCAGCACAAGGCCACACACCTCCAAAGTCTCCCCAAACAGCGCCACCAACTGGACACCAAGTGTTCAAACGCTTAAGAACATCTCTCTTTCAAACCACAACACAGAGGCACGCAGATCTCCGTGAGTTGAAGGCCAACCTGATCTACTTAGCAAGTTCCAGGGCAGCCAGGGCCACACAGTGAGACTCTTGTTTCAAGCAGACAAAGTGAGGACTGACATCTGAGGTTGTCCTCTGACCTGTCCATGAGTTCCATGGCACACACACGACTGCACGCACTCATATAGAACACACACACACACACACACACACACACACACACCCCTCAGAGAGAGAGAGACGGAGAGAGAGAGAGAGCATGTGCACAATACACTTAATTAAGGCGGAGAACCCACACTACTCTATATTTTTCCTAGAGGCCATCATTATTTGGGTTGAGTTGTCAATAATCACCCCAATTGCTGCTTCTCATTTGGGGTGCATAACAGAAAAACTTTTGCCTGATTCTTAAAGGACTTTGGTCACATATTTTTCCTTGACTTCGGTGAAGCTGAGAGAGACGGGGCGACCTGCTAAGCTATCCTTCCCTCTACTGTGGCTGCTCATCAACCTAGTCCCAGAGGGAGAAGGCATAGAACAGCCTTGGATTCATAGAGACACAATCAAGAAATAGCTGTCCCAACCACTGTGGTGCTGGACACTGTCTGTCATGGATGCATCAACTTTACCTACCCTGACTGACAGAGGGGCTTGGAGCTCATCTTTCTTCTCCATGGTGCTGGATTTTTATCACCTATACAAATATCCACAAATAGTATATTATATAGTTTTGTGTTTTTCTTATCTTTTTTTCCTCTCTTTCTTTTGTGCATGTGTGCATGTGTCTATGTCTATGTGTGTCTCTGTGACGGGGTCAGAAGTCAACTTCTTCAGGTACTACCCACCTGCTTGTTGTTGCTGTTGTTGCAGTTAGCTATTTGTGTGTATATACAGGTCTATCTGTACACATGTGAGTGCCAGCGCCATAGCACACATGTTGAAGTCAGAGAACAATCCTCGAAATTGGGTTTTTGACTTCCAATCTGTGAGTCCTAGGAACTGAACGCAGTCAACAGGCTTGTCAGCAAGTGCCTTTACCGGCTGAGCCATCTCGCTGGTTGTACCTTGCTATTTGAGGCAGGGTCTCTCTCACTGGGAACCCAAAGCTCTTCAATCGGGCTAAGCTGGCTAGCCAGTGAGCCTCAGAGATCTGCCTACCCCTGTCTTCCCTGTGTTGGGATCAGAGTGTATACTACCATGCTCAGCTTCTTATGTGGGTGCTGGGATTGAACTCAGGATCCTATGCACAGATGCCAAACGCTTCAACTGAACATCTTCCGCAGCACCAATTTTGATTTTTAAAAATGCATAGATTGGGTATAGTGGTCCAGGCTTATAATCAAACTGCTTAGGAGGCAAAGAGGATCAGGAGTTTAAAGCCAGTCTGGACTCCGTAGTCAGACTGTCTCAAAACCAAAAAACCATAGGCACAAAGATACAAACAGCAACAACAACACACCGATGGTTGACTTTTTTTATGGTTTTTGGAAACAGGACTCTCTATGAAACAGCCCTGGCTGTCCTGAAACTCTCTCTGTAGGCCAGGCTGGCCTTGAACTCACAGAGATCCGCCTGCCTCTGCCTTCCAAGTGCTGGGATTAAAGGCGAGCGCCACCACTGCCCAGCATGAGTGAGTTTTTAAAGCCCATTCAGCTTGCTTCCTCCCAGACCCGTGTTGGTGTCACTCGCTGCACTGTGGCCTCCAGACTGCGTCTGTGTGAATGCCTTATCCTGCAGCACTCGTTATTTTTCCTCCCCCACTCACGGATGGACATTTCGAGCAGGGCCAGCTTTCTGTGCTCACAAACAGGGCTTTGGTGGACGTCCTTGGACCCGTCTCCAGGTGCACATGTGTGCGAACTCCCCAGGGTATATTCCTAGAACTGCAACTCCCGGGTGGGAGGGCTTTTGTCAGCTCTGCTAATGACCTAATTCTTCTCCAAGATGACTGTGTTTCTCAACATTCCCCCTTCTCTCCTCTTCCCATCCGCTGCCCCCACATATTACAAATGGCCCCACATTTTTCTTCTAGAGTCATCCCTGGGATATCATGCCTCCCCCATAAAACTCTCTTCCAGCTCTTTAAGGAAAAAAAAATTCAAAAATGGTTTTGGCAAAGACCTGAGTCAGAAGGAGGCAGGGTCAGGGCAGGGTGAAGCTGAGGACCCCGTTGGGGCAAGGAGACCTAAGGAAGTTCTGAAGCAGGCTGGCATGCTATTAATCAATCTTACTGAGTCAGATCACAGCACTTGGCAGCATGAATCCACGGGGGTTGCCAAAGCTGACCCTCTTCTGCCTACTGGGTCAGGGAAAAACCCTTGGGTAACAGCCCCAAACGACTTCCAAATAAAGACTAGGGAGACAGTTGGTGTCTCAGACTGAGCAGTGGCCCCAGGGACCTCACCCAGCCTCAAGGGGGCTGAGAACTGCTAAGACCCACTTCTCACCATACACCAGCAGCAGCAAGTCAGGAAGTAGGGTAAAGACTTGATCGACAACCATGTCTTCTTGGTCTTTGGCCTCCCAGTCTCAACAATTCAAATCTTTTAGAGTCTGTAGCTCAACTGCTTCCCACCATGATGATCATGGACTAATTCTTTAAAATTGTAAGTCAGCCCCCCAGTTAAATGTTTCCTTTTATAAGTTGCCTTGGTCATAACGTCTCTTCACAATATTAGAAGAGTAACTTCTAATATTACCCCCCTCACCATCCCAGATTTTTGAGCCCTTTACTTTAGGAAAGAGATTTATATTTTTTAATCTCCCCCTGTGGTTTGAATAGGTATACCCCCCCCATAGACTCCAGTGTTTGAATGCTTGGCCCATAGGGAGTGGCACTATCATATTAGGAGGTGTGGTCTTGTTAGAGGAAGTGTGTCACTGTAGAAGGGGGCTCTAAGGTCTCAGATGTGCTCAAGTCATGCCCAAGGTGACAGTTCATGCCCTGCTGCCTACAGATCAAAATGTAGAACCCCCAGCTCCTTCTCCGGCACCATGCCTGCCTGCACACCGCCATGTCCATGATGGACCACACCTCCGAACTGTAAAGCGCCACCAGTTACATCTTTTCCTTTATCAGCATTGCCTGCCATAGTTGGGCGGTGGTGTCGCAGGCCTTTAATCCCAGCAATTTGGGAGGCAGAGGCAGGTGGATCTCTGTGAGTTCGAGGCCAACATGGTCTACAAAGTGAGTTCCAGGACTTCTGAGGCTACACAGAGAAACCCCATCTCAAAAAAACCACAAACAAACAAAAAGAGTTGCTTGCCACGGTCATAGTGTCTCTTCAGAGCAATAAATCCCTAAGACACCCCCTTGGCTTCTTCTCTTCCATAGCTGCTGCTCCTTTGATGGCCCTGGTCACTTTAGAACTCTTGTCAATGGGCATGAGCATCTATTCACAAAGGAAGACAGCCCGCCCTCGGCGAACCCCCAAGGCACGACACAGATGCTGGATCCCACCAGTAGGGCTTGTAACTTGGCTCAAAGTCCCAAATGTCAACAAAGTTTACAGGGTACGAGCCTAGATCCTGGAAGTAGGCTCATCATCTGTCCCCAGCACATCAGTAAAAGAGACGAATAGGCAAGAAGGAAGGCAGGGAAAGGTTTATTTGATGTGGTCACATCGGGAGGATGAACAAAAAAAAGGAACAAGAGGCCAGTGACCACCCCACCAAGTCCATCTGCTGAGACCTGGCAGGAGGTTTAGAGGTATGAAAACTAAGCAGTTCTTGTGGAGGTGGCCCTGCCCACCCTCGTGTCAGCTCCAGTCTCTCTGCACGGTGGTCTGAGAAACTGCAGACCTGTGTGAAGTCTCCTGGGAGACATGTTCTTCTCTGGCTGGCACCAGCCTCGCTTCTTCTTCACTGGAGAGGCTCCCAGGGAAACTGCAGTTTCTTGGGGAACATTGCTTCCCCACTGATAGCCAAAGGAAGGGACACAGATGTCTCTTTTCTCTCTTGCCAGGATGGTTACACAACAGATATTGACTGTGACACGGGGCTCAGGGGAGCCAGGGCCACAAGGGGGCGAGGTCATCGGCCTTTGCCTTGGAGGCTTTTACTTGCAGATGCTTGAGGCGTCATGGGATTCCCATCAACTGAATCTGTCAAGTCTTTGGTGGAGTTGGGGCGCAGCTTGGTGGAAGCGGGCTTGCAGAGTCAGCACAGCTCTGAGTTCAATTTCCAGTCCTACCAAAGAAAGAAAAGAGAAAAACATTCATGTCAAAAACACAGGCGGTGCTGAGAGCCCTTAACGTTGCTGTTTGAAATCGGTCTTGAGGTCAGAACAGCCTCTTTTTAGCAAGTTGGAGCCAGTTCCCACAGAGAAGCAGCCCAGATTCCCGACCCAGGTGCAAAGCTTCAGAAAAGGGTTTTTTGAGCACAACAATCTATATTTATCTTAACTATGTGTCCAAGGAAACAGAATCGTGAGTCCAAGTTTTAGCCCAAGCCAGATGCTAACTCCTTTCAGAGAGCTGGGTTTGCTGAGGCCCAACCAGCATTGCTTCCTTTCAACTTCTCAATTCTACTCATCCCCAAACCCAGCTTTTCCTTTGGCAAGACTTTCCATGGTCTGTGTTGTGCTGTTTCCTTTGATGCACTGAGTGACTAACTTGAACTCTGTTAAAGTCCCGCTGTGCTCCTGGTGGGCTCCATCACATGGGCTTTCTCACAGAATTCAAGCCCTCTCTGTCCCTTGACTTGGTGATTTGGCAAACATTTGCATAGCCCACACTTCAAGTTATTATTATTATAGTCGTTTGCTTTTTGTTTTTTGAGACAGGGCTTCTCTGTATAGCTTTGGAGCCTGCCCTGGAACTCGCTCTGGCCTCGAACTCAGAGAGCCACCTGTCTCTACCTCCCGAGCGCTAGGATTCAAGTCGTGCGCCACCACTGCGGGGCCTATGCTTGAGTTTTAGGTGCTGGGAACAGAGCAGGGCTTGACACCACATGCCTGTAGTTTATGTCAGACACCGGGGCAGAAGAGAATGACTCAGACTTGGTAGAGTACACAATCCAACTGTGGCAGGCAGGAGGATCACATGTTCAAAACCAGCCTGGGAAACTTAGTGAAACCTTGTGTCAGTGGGTAAAGATGTTTGCCAACAAGCCCGATGACCTGAGTTCGATTTACAGGACTGACACAGTAGAAGGGGAGATCAACTTCTGAGCACTATGGCACAGGAATGTGTGTGTGTGTGTGTGTGTGTGTGTGTGTGTGTGTATGGATAAATACATAAACATACATAAACATAATTTTAAAAAGTAAAGAAGGCAAGGAAAAGAGAACAAGAGAGAATGGAACAACACAGTAGTAGGGCATTTGCATGCATGAAGCTCTAAGTTCAGTTCCAATAATATCTGTAAGACACATGTGTGACGGAAGCATGACAGTGACAACATAGACAGGGTCCCCGGGCTCAGGGAACCTTTCCGGAAGGAATGGATGAGATAAAAAATTAAGAGGCATTCATTTGTCTCTCACTTTATTTATTTGTTGGTTGGTTTATTTATTTATTTTTGTTTTCTTGAGACATGTTTTCTCTGTGTAACTATTCTGGCTATCCTAGAACCTGCTATGTAGACCAGGCTGGCCTCGAACTCAGAGATCTGCCAGTCTCTGCCTCCCGAGTGCTGGGATTAAAGGTGAGCAACGACATCACCACCTGGCCAAGATCTATTTTTTTTATCCTAGGTGTACATTTTGTCTTCATGTATGTATGTATGTGCACCACATGTGTACACTAACTGAGGTGGGAAGAAGAGGGCATCATCAGAGCCCCTGAAAATGGGATTATGGATGCTTGTGAGTCACCGTACGGGTGCTGGGAACCAGACCCTCATTCTCTACAAGAGCAGCAAGTATTTTTACCCCTAAGCCATCTCTCCAGATCTTTCTTTTCTTCATTATAAGGAAATGTGTCATTAGCTGATTCTGTCGTTGCTCCAACATTCCAGAATGTACTTCTATGTAGAAGTGGACTTCCTGTTCCTAGTATCCTGCCAACTCCTAACCACTGTGCTCCCACCTCCCACTTCCTGTTTCAGCCATCTATACATAGGCTAAGAGGGCGACTATGTCATTCGGTGAAAGAACTCACGGACCCACTGCAGCACAGGTGCTCCATTATTAGCCAAACCTCACCAGCAGCTGGTGGCTATCGTTAAGATGGAAAGGGATGGTGCCCTCCTGGGAATGGTGAGGGCTGCATGGCAACTACATTTGGGCTGGACCTGGGTGAACAGGTCTCAGGAAAGAGTGGCCCACTCAGGAACCCGCTAAAGAGCTCTTCAGGTTTGCAAAATCACAAAAAGGTCAGAGGGCCCAGAGAGGATGGGTGGACAGGGGAGTGTGGCTCAGGACACAGTGCAAATCTTACCTTGAGTGACAGACAATTTACACAGAGCCCCGGCACATGCACTTTCACAGAAATGTCTACAAAATCAGGACTTCTTTTTAAGGCAAAGTGTGTCTCTCTCCACCTCCACGGTTTGCCGAAGCAGTCTGGAGAGACTTCTGGAAGCCTAGGACCTAGAACACCCTCTCAGTTTGCAGGCAGGGAAGCTGGACTGAGTAGAGCAGAGTGGAAGGTGGACGCATGGTTGTAGAGGTGGAGAGAGGACCCACGGCTGCTCTCAGGGGTAGAACAGGGCCAGGGTGAAGAGTCAGTCTTTTTTCCGTTTTCTTTTCTTCCTTTTTTTTCTCTCTCTCTTTTTTTGCTAGTTTGTTTTTGAGATAGTTTCTTTGTATAGCCCTGGCCACCCTGGAACTTGCTCTGTAGACCAGGCTGGCCTCAAACTCACAGAGATCTGTTTGCTTTTGCCCTGAGTGCTGGGATTAAAGGTGTATGACACTGCCCAGCCTTTTTTTCTTTTTTCTCCTCTTTTTTTTTTTCTTCAAGACAGGTTTTCTCTGTATAGCCTTGACTATGTTGGAACTCATACCATAGACCAGGCTGGCTTCAAACCCTGAGATCTGCCTGCCTCTGCTTCCCAAGTGCTGGGATTAAAGATATGTACCACCACCCCACTCTTGTTTTAAGATAAGGTTTCATTAGGTAGCTAGCCTAAGATAGCGTCGAATCATGATCCTGTCTCAGTCTTCTGAGTGCTGGTACCCACCACAGACCTCTCACCAGAGTCCTGGTCCTTGAACCACTAGGTAGAGCAGCCAACCATCCAGGGTTTACAGATCAGTAATAGCAACACTGGGTCTGGACATTAACTCGGCAAACCAGTTTCCTAATGTCTCTTTGACTCCTCTAGGTCACCCCATTTGGGCCAGTTGGAAGACAGAAGTGAGCCAATGAAATGCTATCTTCTAATAGCCAGATCCCTCTCCCTTCTGTGGGATAAGGGCAAAGTGGGCAGGCCACTTTGGTTGGTGTTTCTGTACTTCCTGTTCCTGGCTTCTGAGCTCTCTGACTTGCCTGGCCAGTCTCAGACCTGATCCATATGGCTCTAAAACTTTAGCCCTTATCCATCAGGAGGTGGGACTTAGTATGGTGGCAATTGGAAGTATTGAGGACGAGATACCCAGGGTTAGGATTTGGCCTCCTAGACAGAGACATTCTCTGAGCAGACTGGGCCAACCCCCAGTGCACGTACATTCACTGCTGTCTGGGCACACTGAGGAAGCGTCTCCTAGTTTCCTGAACACAGCCTTAGTTACCTAGGAGTCTCAGGTGGGAGAGTGCCTGGAACAGATTGGCCGGTGGGCATATCCTTAAGGTCTTTTCTTTTCTTTTCTTTTTTTATTATGCATACAGTGTATGACCAACATGTATATCTGCATGCCAGAAGAGGGCACCAGATCTCACTACAGATAGTTGTGAGTCATCATGTGGATGCTGGGAATTGAACCAAGGTCCTCTAGAAGAGCAGCCAGTGCTTTTAAACACTGAGACATCTCTTCAGCCTTGAGGTATTTTCTTAATTGTTAATTAATATAGATGACCCTAGCCCACTGTAGCAGGGCTAGGAAGGTCGATCTGGGCTATATAAGAAAGCAAGCAAGATTTGGGCTGGAGAGATGGCTCAGAGGTTAAGAGCATTGCCTGCTCTCCCAAAGGTCCTGAGTTCAATTCCCAGCAACCACATGATGGCTCACAACCATCTGTAATGGGGTCTGGTGCCCTCTTCTGCCCTGCGGGTATACACAAAGTCAGAATATTGTATAGATTAAAAAGAAAGAAAGAAAGAGAGAGAGAGAGAGAGAGAGAGAGAGAGAGAAAGAAAGCAGATAGCCCAGCTGGAACTACAAGAGCTAGTTCCAGGACAGCTAGGACTATTACACAGAGAAACCCTGTCTTGAAAAACCAAAATAAATAGCTAGATAGCTAGATAGATAAAAGCTAGCAGAGCGGCTGGAGAGGGGCTCAGCGGTTAAGGACTCTCACTAGTTGCTCTTCTGACGATCTAGCCTAGATTGTCAGCACACACATGGCGCCTCACAAGTCTGTAAATTCAATCCCATGGGTTCTATGCTTGTCTTCTGGCCTCCACGGGCATCAGGCAAACAAGGAGGCAAAACAATGATATACATAACATTTTATGTATTTATTTTTATTTTTATTATTTTATTATTATTATTTATTTATTTTTGTTTTTGTAGTTTTTCGAAACAGGGTTTCTCTGTAACTTTCAAGCAAGAGAGCAAACCAGTGTTGGAAAAGAATATTCATGAAGTTGCACAAAGAAAACATTCAAACGGGGGTGGGGGGGGGGCTGGAGAAATGGCTCAGAGGTTAAGGACACTGTTTGCCCTTACAAAGCTCCTGAGTTCAATTCCCAGCAACCACATGGTGGCTGACAACCATCTGTAATAAGATCTGGTGCCCTCTTCTGGCCTGCAGGGACCACTGTATACTTAATAAATAAATAAATCTTTAAAAAAAGAAAAAAAAGAAAAGAAAACATTCAAACGCAGTGGAAGTTAATTTTCTTTCTTTCTTTCTTTCTTTATTTATTTATTTGGTAAAACACCTCTGCCAAGACCCAAACAGTAAATACACCGGGACCGAAAGTTTATTCTAAGGCAGGTGGTGACTGTGTTTCAGCCCACTGGTGCAAGTTAAACTCACAATCTCATCTGATTGGCTAATTCATAATCAACGTAAAAGAAATGGGAGAGTGGTTGGCTGCTCTGGGTCATGGAATTCTGGGACTGCAGCAGAACTTTTGCACAAAGGGAAGTTTTCCCGGATGGGGGAGATGAGAAGGTATGAATTTCTTTGCATGGGAGTTTTACAAGGTGTGAGTGATTTGGCTAGCCTTTTTTTTATTATTAAAAAACAACAACAAAACAAAAACAAAAACATTCTCTCACCATCGAGCAGCGTTCCTCCCTGGTTTCGGCTCCGAGCTCCTGCCCTGGCTTCCTTGGATGGTAGACTGTAACTGTAAACTGAAATAAACCCTTTTCTTTCCAAGTTGCTTCGGATCACAGTGTTTATCACAGCAACAGAGCAAAGTAGGACACAGGGCTTGTCCAGTAGACCGCGCCTAGCCTCATCTAGACTGACCCCACCCCAGTGGACACTGTCCCTTTCTGTCATATTGAGTGGCACAGATGCCCCCAGGATGTGCCTCCTCAGATACAGGGGAGTATCTGAATTCTTGTTCATCTCCTTCCATTCTGTCACTGGGTCAACTGAGGCGGAGGAAGACAAAGCATTTTTCCCGGGGGAGAGAAATGTTTGGTGCAAGAGCAAGGACGAACAGAGATGAGTTAAAACCATAGAGTGCGCAGCACTACCGAAGCCTAGAGCGACGCTGCAGCTAATCTAGCCCGGCAGTCGACTTCCGCTTCCGGCGAAAAACAGGAAGTTCCGCGATAGACTGCTTTCGTCCCTTTTCCGGACTCAGTTTAGGGCTGTGGCTGCGCTCTTGTCCTGGGTTCACTTGGACTGCCATGTGGCCACTGTGGAGGTAGATGCTCCGCTTCTTCCTCCCGTCTTCATCCTCCGCGCTCCTGACCTGGGCGGATTAGGAGACCCTGTCTTGTATCTATGGCTCCACGTCCGACGCTGCGTTGACCTCCCCGGGGCCGGAAGTCCACTTCCGCTCCGCCTGGGCGGCTCCCGGCTTCATGCCGGGTGTCTTTTGCGGAATTGAACCCTCGCACCACCTTGACCCTTGCGCAGGTTCCTCTCTGCCCTCCTATTGCATGTCCATGAGTGTGGATGACAGTGTCTTGAGGGCGACCAGAGGGCCACCGAGAGCTGGGCGTGGTGGCGCACTTCGGTCATCCCAGCACTTGATGGGCAGAGGCAGGAGGATTACTGCAAGTTAGAGGCAAGCCTAAGCTACATAGCGAGTTCCAAGCCTGCCATAGCTATTTAGCAGGAGCCTGTCTAAACACAAAACTCCAAAATTATAAGTCTGGGTTAGGGAGAGGATTGGGTGAAGGGCTGCTGGTTGATTCCTAAAACCCAGCTACTGTGAATGCAGACAGCGGGGCCTGCAGTTGTTTTAAGAGCTGAGGCTGAGGATGGTGGCAAGGAGGGTGGAACAGGAAAAATAAAAAAGAGCGTGCTGTGGAATTTTGACCTGTCGGGAGATCTTTGCACTGGGCAGGTGGTTTCCTGAAACTGATGGCGTTTCAGTTGTGGAACTGGTCCTTCTCTCAGAAATAACCTTTAAAACTGGCCTCCTGATAATTTAGAGATTAGTTCTAGACACCAGTGTTGTGGATATCTTGGGTAATTAGAATTAGTGAAAGGGAGCTTTCCTAAGTGTATTTGGGATCTTGAGTAAAAGGTTTTGGCAGGAGGGGAAAACCTGAAAAGTATCTCCCTCTTGATTTCTTGAAAAAGCAACACGTTTTAAATGATAATAAACCATAAAAATGCACAGTGAAAATATTTTCCTCCTTGATCCTGTGTTCAGAAATACTGCTAATTTAATAACTTCCAGGTACAGTTTGTGGATGTGTTACACATGTGGTGGTAGTGTGTTTTTAACTTCCCCTGATGGTTTCCGTATAAACTGATACGGACATGACCACTCCATGGTATGGTTAAGGGGAAGGTTTTTTTTTTTTTTAATGTAGATATTAGAGAACAGCCAGAGGCCTCTGGAAGAGTCCAGAGCAGAGAGAAGGTAGACTGAATACAGCCTACAGACTGGACATGACCATGGCGATTGGTGAGAGAGGGGAGAATAACAGGGACTAGGAAATAGAGAAAGCAGAGAAGCAGGAGCGGAGGGAGGAGAGAGAGAGCGCAGAGCGGAAGGAGCATGTGAAGAATAATAGCAGGGTTATAAGGATTAAGGAGTAGCTGGGGGTGGGAAGCCATGAGCTGGAGGAAGTTTAGGATAAGAGCAGGTGAGAAGGGCCAGGATGACTCTTTGGTGGGTGGGAACCAGTTTCACAAGTTCCTGAGGAATACTGGCTTTTGTCTAACCCCCAGCAATCCTGTAATTCAGCCTGAGTGCATTTCTGGATATTTGGACTGCCTTTGGAGTTTCCTGTGAACCTGACAGTTTCATACAACTGTTGATCTGTGCCTTGTTCACATCTTGATGTTATAGATGACTTAGCACTCATGGCTTTACTCCATTCATTGTAAGGCTGCAAAGCATTCCACTGAATAGTTGACAGTACCTTACTCATTTACTGGTTGATGGCCACTTAGATTGTACCCAAGAATCTTTCCCTCTATCAATCATTCAGCCTTTCCTTGACTTAATAGTTCCTTTTTTTAAAAAAAAAAAATCTAAAGCTCTTGTTCTGTTTTATCTCGTGACTATATAAAAATATCACATCTTAGACATTTTTTAAAGGAAGAGGTTCATTTGCTGCACAGATTTGGAGGTGTAAGGGCATGGTACTGCTATAGGCTGAGCTCTGGGTGGCATTACAGTGAGGAGAACTTATGTGCTGTGGGGAGATCATATAAGGAGACAGGACAACAGAGAACAGAAAGGCATCAGTTTGTATTTTTTAAAAAAGATTTATTTATTTATTATGTATACAGTATTCTGCCTGCATGTATGCCTGCATGACAGAAGAGGGCACCAAATCTCATTACAGATGGTTGTGAGCCACCATGTAGGTACTGGGAATTAAACTTAGGACCTCTGGGAGAGCACAGGCAACCTGTGCTCTTAACCTCTGAGCCATCTCTCCAGTCCTCAGTTTGCAATTTTTTAAATAATTTATTTAACTTTATTTTATGTGCATTAGTGTGAAGGTATCAGATCCCCTGGAACTAGAGTTACAGACAATTGTGAGCTGCCATGTGGGTGCTGGGATTTGAACCTGGGTCTTCTGAAAGAACAGCCAGTGCTCTTAACTGCTGAGCCATCTCGCCAGCCCCATCAGTTTGTAATTTTATGATCTCATTCTAAAGAACTAGCTCAAAGCCAGGTGGTGGTGGCTGCGCATGCCTTTAATCCCAACATTCAGGAGGCAGAGACAGGCAAATCTCTGTGAGTTCAAGACCAGCCTGATCTACAGAGTGAGTTCCAGGGCAGGCTCCAAAGCTACACAGAAAAACCCTGTCTTGAAAAAGGAAAAAAACTAGTTCAGGCTAAGTTGGTAGAGCAGTTATATAGCATTGAGGAGGAAGTTTTGAATCCCAGCACTTTATAAAGTGGTTGTGGTCACCCATGTTTGTAATCCTAGTGCTTGGGGGAAGGGTAGAGATCAGAAATTCTAGATCATCTGCAAAGAGAGTCTGAAGCTAGCTTGAGCTAGAGACCCTGTCTCAAAACAGAGTTAAAACTATTTCTAGGCCGGGTGGTGGTGGTACACGCCTTTAATCCCAGCAGAGGCAGGCAGATCTCTGTGAGTTCGAGGCCAGCCTGATCTGCAAGAGCTAGTTCCAGGACAGTCTCCAAAACTTCAGAGAAACCCTGTCTCGAAAAACAAAAACAAAGACAATAACAACAACAACAAAAAAAAAACCCCCAACTATTTCCAGGAAAGTAATATTAGTCCCTCCTAAGGGCAATTCCCCACAAGACCTAATTGCCTGCCAGGTCCTACCCATTATGCTATTTTTTTAAAGACAGGCACTGGTAGCCAAGGCTATCCTTAACTTGTTCTGAAGTGTAGACTGACCTAGAATTTTTGATCCTCCTGCCCTCTACCTGCTGAGTGCTGGGATTACAGAATATGGCACATCATGTGCTTAGGTCCTACCTCTTAAATATGCCATCACCAAACCGGGTGGTGGTGGTGCATGCCTTTAATCCCAGCACTTGGGAGGCAGAGGCAGGCAGATCTCTGTGAGTTCGAGGCCAGTCTGGTCTGCAAGAGCTAGTTCCAGGACAGGCTCCAAAGCTACAGAGAAACCCTGTCTTGAAAAAAACAATCCCATCACCTCCTAACATCACTGGGAACACACACATGAACACACAATGAGGCTATCCTTCAGAGGCCAGAGGCACCAGATCCCCTTGATTACCTGACATGAATACTGGGACTTGAACTCAGATTCTCTCCAGGAGCAGTACAGGTTTTTAATGACTGAGTGGACCAGTTCCTAACACCTGGTTTCTAAGCCACTCAAGGTTCCCTGACCCATCTTCTAGAGCTTAAAGTAATTCTAGTCCCTGTAGCTAAGATACTCTTGGGACCCAGACCAGTTCTTATTATCTAGGCTTTTGCTTACTCAGCAGAGTAGGCTCATCCCTCCCCAAATTGCGATAATCTAGAATGAGAGGGAAAGGCAGAATGCTCTATAACTTGGTGGTGCTGGCAGTTCTTTCAGATTATGTTTATTATTTGTTATGGGAGGGCCCTTAGTGGGGGTCAGAGGACTACTTTTGGGAGCCTGTTAAGTTCCAGGAACTACCATATAAGTTCCAGGAACTGAACTCACTTCGTCAGGCCTGGCAGCAAGTGCTCTCACCCACTGAGCCGGCTCACCAGCCTGTGAGCACTACTAGTTTAGGAGTGGTCAATGAATCTAAAGAGATGTTCCTCTAGCTGCAGGGGTATCCAATGTCTCTGGCCTCCAAGGTCATCTTTTCCAGGTTAAATTCCTAGAACCTACACGGTTGCTAACAATCATCTGTCACTCCAGTTCCAAGGCTATACTTTCTAAAACTTGGTGTGTGTGTGTGTGTGTGTGTGTGTGTGTGTGTGTGTGTGTATGCACACATGCACATGGGGATACCACAGTCCTTTTATGGAGATCAGAGGACAACTTACGGGTGTTAGTTCTCTCCTTCTACCATGTAGGTCAATAGCAAGGCAGGAGCAAGGATAGGCAGGGCTAGCAGGTAGGTAGTATAAATAACTATAAGGAGAACAAGGAAAGGAGGACTACGGGCTAGCCACCCAGTCAGACACGAGTCATAGTGAAAGTAAGATATACAGAAGTAAGAAAAGGAAAAAGCCCAGAGGCAAAAGGTGGTTAGGGACAATTTAAGTTAGAAAAACTGGAAAGAAACAAGCCATGTTAAGGCTGGACATTAATAAGTAAGAATAAGTCTCTGTGTATTTATTTGGAGCTGGGTGGTAGGCACCCCAAAAAGCCTGAAGAGTAAAGAGCAAAAACAGCCAACAACATAGATGTAAGTGGACAGAACATTTTCTCATTTCCTTTTCATCATGTTACCTCAGAACTGACCAACAGTGTTCCCTAAAAATGGCTGAAGAAAGGAGATGGGAGCAAGACTGGGTTAATTGAGTGCTTGCCTAGTATAAGAAGCCCTGGGTTCAGGCAGAGCAAGATCAGAAGTTCAAGATTAGCATGGAGAGTTGGCGCAGAGTTAAGAGAGTTCCCAGCACCCATATTCTGCTGCTCACAACTATCTGAAGCCCTAGCTCCGGATGATACAGTGCCCTCTTTTGGCCTCTTTGGATTCTCATGTGTATTTATGTACCTGCGTGCCCCCCCATTTATTTATTTGTTTATTTATTGTTTTTCAAGACAGGGTTTGTCTGTAGCTTTGGAGCCTGTCCTGGAACTAATTCTTGTAGACCAGGCTGGTCTCGAATTTACAGAGATCTGCCTGCCTCTGTCTTCCGAGTGCTGGGATTAAAGGTGTGTGCCACCACTGCTCGGCTCACACAAA